TCAACAAAGCTGTAGGATGTCAACTATAGCTCTTTGGAGACAATAAAATATAAACGTTATTTTATGAAATATTTTAACAATTTTTATTAATAATTTATTACCAAATGTTCAAAGTGTCCTCCATTTACATTCAAGCATTTCCTAATTCTTACGTATATTGGAAATTAAATATCTTTGAAATTATTAAATTTAGGTATGCCCTATATACAGGGTGTTTCGAAATTGGTGCACCATACTTTAACAGCAGATTCTACGTTCAAATATAAGAAAAAATGTCCTATAAATATAGGTCGAGAAATGCCTCCTAAGGGAGCTACATCCCCCGAAAAGGGAGCCCCTGAAGATGGTTTATATCTAATATTTATAAAAAAGTAGAAACATCCTGTCACTTACTACATGAAACTGTCTTGAATTATTTTATTTTTTTCTAAACATGGCAGCCATATTCCATTCATTTCTATGGTTGTGATTTAATTGTGAATTTTTATGCCATGTAAAATAATTTTCAAATCGATTTTATGCATGTGAAAACGGTGTATGTTATCCAAGTTCATTAAGATGAACTTTTTTATGTGCAAAACTCAAAAATTTCATAATCTGACTTACAAAAAAGTTAAGGTGGTTTTAACCCCATTTCCTATCAATCTGACCCAAACCTCATGAAATTTTTTAAATTGTATTGTTACGTCCTATTGGTCATAAAAGTTTAATTAATTCCCCAAATTTCACTTTTATATCTTTAAAGGTTTTGGAGATATTAAATAAAAACAATCTTCAGGTGCTTTCTTTTTGGGGGCTGTAGCTCCCTTAAGAGGCATTTCTTGACCTATGTTTATAGGGACTTTTTTTCTTATTTTTGCAATGTTTTTAATTTTCTATTTGATTATGTAAAAACATGCAGGGTGTTACATTTAAAATAAAGTTATTAACGTTTCAAGTCTAATTTGCCATGGTTTTTTTAAGTAATTTGTTGATATATTTTAAGTTATTGACATGAAATATTTTAAACAATGTTTAAAGATTTCAAAAATAATTCCAAACATAATGACGACAAAGTTATTAGGCTATTTTTGATTGACGTGCATTTGTCAAAATTTAACGAAAACTCGAAATCTATTCACTTTAGGTATGGGACATTAGACTGAGAATTTCATGCAGAATTTAAAAATGTAAATATATAACAAAGTTGATGTCACTTCCGGTCAAACCGGAAGTGCCATTTTGATCATAATATTTTATAAAGTAGACTTAGTTGGATTGTAGGGGCTTTAAAAATTTCAAATCGATTGCTTTTGCCGTTCCCCAGAAACTTTTAATGGACCACGAACACCATGAATATGGGTGGAATTAAAGTTTCTAGGTTGGCTCCCCTTAAAAGTGAATGATTAAAAATGTAACCATTTTTGATGTTTTTTTTTTACTTTTTTAGATTTTCAACTAACATCCTGGAAGCAGGGATGAATTTTTTCGGATAATTTCGTGCTGCAAACTGCTACCTTTTTTGAATAGGCCTAAAAACGCGTAATTTAAAAAAATAATTACTAAATTATAATTACTCGCAGAGAAAACTCATAAAATTAAAAGTTGGGATTTTTTCTGCATTTTTATTTAAACAATTTAAGGAATTTGCACTCTCTTAAAATTAAATAGTCAAAATACTACTATTTGAATTAGTACCAGCATTTTTTACTAATAAAATAGTCGTTTTCAGTTTTAAATAGTTATTTTTTACTACGTAAATAGTTAAAGTTTGACTAATTTAAGATTAGTCACCATCTTTGACTATTTCTGAGAGTTAAAAGCAACTAATTTCTTTAATCGTTTGCGGCCAACAACAAAGTATTATTTGAAGTAAATGCATATACCTAGGATCCATGGTTAAATGGCCAATAAAATCAAACAAAAAGTTTAGCTCAAAACAGCAACACAAATAATATATTCAACGTTAAAATATTATGAACAATATTTATTGACAAATAATATTAATTTTTATAAGAGCGACTGATAGCCAAATGGGTTATGACAACAGCTTGACAAGCTTGAGAAGCGACAGACCTGAGTTCAATCCCCGGCTGGGTCAAAAGTTTTTTTAAATTTAAATCTTCTAATTTGAATATTTCATTGAGTAGAATTTGACTAATTATTAGTGACTGCTTTTTCGCTATGACAATTAGTCAAATAAGATTTATAATTAGTTATTTTTGACTAATTCATTTTAGCTGTTAGCATTAATGTTTTCATTCGTAAATCATGAAAATGAAAATTGCACGTTCCACCATTTTTTTGCTCTGTGCCCAGTCAATATACCAAGACCTTCTAAAAAAACATTAAAATGATAATTTTAACTAATTAATTGCATTGAAGAAGTTAAAATAATTAAAAAGACAATTATCGGTACAAAACAATGATTTCAAGTACCAATTATCCAATTAGCCGGTTCAATCAAAGTCAACACCGGTATTTCCCAGCATCGAGCAATAAAATCCTTGTTTGCATTTACAATTTACGATTGTCGATATCAGCTCGAGGTTTTTCTTTTAATTCTCGCAAAACCCCAGCGTCATTTGAAATAACAGTTTTCCCGATTCACAGCGTATTTAAGGCTTTAAATTTTTAATATTCTTGCCTTCGGGTCTCCTTTATCTCTCCCTATATATGCGCCGGAACTCGTTAAAGTTAAAAGCGGGCAAATATTTGAGCTCGTGACACGGCAAACATTAAATCAATATCACCTTACGTTGTAGGTTAGGATTTTGTTTGACAAAATTTGACCCCTTGGTCCTTATGACAATGTTGAGTTGGTTTGAAAAAATTAAAACAAAAATACACATGTGCGCTTAAACCACACCCTGCATATTTTTACATACAAGGAAAAAAAATTTTGTGGAAAGTACTACAATTGTAGAATTTTCTGGTATAAATTGTTTAAAAAATACGACCAAGAACAATTGGTTAGAAATAATTTAACAATTTTGTAATAAAAATGAACAACAATTTATTGAAGATATAATTATATATTGTAGTTAAATTACTACAATTTCTGTTTTAAATTAATATTGATATATATTTTTAAAAAATATTGTATTGACTAGTGCCATTCTTTATTAAAAATAATACAGATTTGCCGTGCTCCAAAATTGTGTACTTTAAATAAATTATACGTTGATATAAATGCTTTAAGTTTTAGTTAATTTCAAAACAATTGTATTAAATAATTTAACATTTTTTTTACAATATGGTTGTTTTAAAATTTAATTTAATTTTTTTTTCGTTTAATTATAATTAAACGAAAAAAAAATTAAATTAAATTTTATTATTATATTATTATATATTATATTATTATTATTTATTATTGTTTATTTTTACCTTATTAATATTATTTTTGTTCCAAATTATAATTTGGAACAAAATTATAATTTGGAACAAAAATAATATTAATAAGGTAAAAATAAACAATAATTAATTAATATTAGGGTGATTCTACATATTAAGTAGGACAACTTGATGTCATAGAGTAGGTATTTTAATATTTTTTGTAAATATTTTAGAATAGGTATTACAAAAGATCCAGGTTTTCTTATAAGAAGTTATAACTTTTCCACCCAATTTTAATGTATTTTTTCAAAAGCACGTTTGTAGAAAAACATAATAAATATTCAAAACATCACAATTTCTGAATCAAATACCTATTTGAGTGATTTTATTTTAAAATATATTCAATTTACCTTAAATTTTTCAATTTCACTACAAACTATAAAACATTAAATAATGTATTTTTCATATTTTATCATAATATTATGTAGATTCGAATAATAGCAATTTTAAAAAAATTGATAATCTTTGAACTCACTTTTACCCGTCAGTTCTGTGTCCAATGTTAAAATTCAAAATTCCTGCGAAATATTGAAGTTTAAACGTCAAGTCCTCGTTTTAACTCAAGTGATGGTAAAAAATACCTACAGATCCCGGATATTTAATGTATAATATGCTCAAAGTTGCAATAAATCTTATATTTTCCAATAAATTATGTATTTAATTAGTACCCTGGTTTACTCGTCACTTCCCTTGCATTCAAATTTAGAAAACACAGATATTTCAGAAACTGTTTGAAAAAGTGACTGGCCCGGTCTGGAACAGTATATTTATTATATTATCTATGTTCTCATAACAAAATACTATTTAATTTTTTCCGAAAACCATATAAACAAAATGAGGTCAAAAGTTGCCCAACTTTTGTAGAATCGCCCATTAAGCACTTGGTTAACCAACAATAATTGTTGGTTAACCATCAGAAATTGCTTATTTTTAAGTTTAGGGTAGTTATTAAAAAATAATTTTTTGTTTCAATTTTTTTTAAATATCGCGACCTGAGAATTAGATTGTTCTATCTCCCAAAATTTAAAGAGGAACAAATAGCAGTTTAAAGTTTAATTTATATACAAATGAAATTTTAAAAAGCTGTTTTTCCGTGTCAGATTTTTGAAAGATAGAATCTCCCAAAACCTAAACACGGAAAAACAGCTTTTTAAAATTTCATTTGTATATAAATTAAACTTTAAACTGCTATTTGTTCCTCTTTAAATTTTGGGAACAATCTAATTCTCAGGTCGCGATATGTTAAAATATACCTACTTAAAAAAATGTTATTTTTGTAAATATTTTGGAAACCCGACATTCAATTGTTTTTCTGTTTTTATCATTTTCATCAGAAGAAAAAATATCAGCAATTTGCCGACTTTTTAGCTCCAATAATAACGAAGTTAGCAATATTGTATACAAAGTTATCCGATATAAAAATCAAAACACTTAAAATGTTTTTCAGCTATTTATTATTTTTACAATGTCCTTAAAGTGAGCAGTGTTTATAAATAAATTCTGTAGTTCGATATACAATGTATAAAACATAACCACCTTTATCGTCTTTGTTTTGAAAACAATAAATATGAATCATATCGCGAGGTAACAACATTGAATTTTATAAGTAATTTTTTTTAACTTACCCCATTTTCATTTCCTAGGAACTTAATTGTAGGAGTCTGACTAAATTTATTCTGAAACAAAAAATAATTCACAGAATTTAAAAATAACTGCTTAATTAAATGAATGAACAGTTTATAAACGAACGAACTAGTAATTTTTAACTTGGGAATATTAGCTGCGTGCCAGTCAAAATGTCAAATTTGTATGTGTAAATCAAAATTTATCCCTTACAAATTTTTAATTTTACTTTTTACGACAAATATTATACAAATTTTTGTATTAAGATAATAAAATAATTTTTACATTTAGTATACATTATTTTACAAGAAGGTCTCTTTATTTTAACTATTGTATGAGATTTGACAACTGTCAACTAACTTAAAACTAACTTCAGCCTAAAAGGTCATAAAGCCACAACTTGTCGATGTGTATTTAAAAGGTCACTAGAGTGTCATGTAAACATGTACGATAATGGGCGTTTTAAAGGTGGGAGTAGAAAATATTATTTTTGGTAAATTACCAATTGATCACCCGGTATAAATCTTAACTTAAGCCCATTATCAAAGAATGCAATTCCCCGTATCAAGGTTCCAGTCCCCCGTTATCTGTACTGTAAAAGTTAAGTGCTCAGGGTTAACATTTATTTAATCGGTAGCTAAATGCTCCCGGTTAGATACAACGTGCTTATAGTCTACATACAATATGTATACAAATAGTGCATAGAATGCAATAAATTAATTGTGTTTTGTTAACAAATCATCTTATCTAGAGCACGGCGCATTAGATACAATAAACACAGGTTAACAATGTTGATATTTTTTTCTCGAATTAATTTCGCTATTTTTATCATTTTCTCATGATAATAACAAAGACTATCGTGGCAACAAAGCAATATTATTCTTTTTTCTTAGAATCTAATGAATGGATGGGTTTTTAATTACAATACATGTGTTATGTTGGAAAAACTTATCTACTACACCAGTATACTGCAGTAATTGAAAACATTCATGCTTTTAATCAACAACGCGTTTTTAATTATAATGGAAATTTAATTAAAAATTCTTTGAAGGATTTTTTATATGATATATTTACAAGCTGATATTTCCCGTTAAAAATTTATATTTATTTTTTGAGACAGTCAAAATGCATGTTTTTCGGTATAAATACATGTAATCTGAAGGTCGTACAAAATTAAAATTTCTTTGAATTTTTTAAGTGGGTATGTAAAATTTATATAAATATTAATAATCACAACAATATATGTATGTATATGGGTGATTCTACAAAAATTGGACAACTTGATGTAATCAGTCAATAGAGTAGGTATTTTAATATTTTTTGTAAATATTTTGTCGACCCAATTTTAATGTTTTTTTTCAAAAGCACGTTTGTAGAAAAACATAATAAATATTCAAAACATCAATACCTTGGCGTGTCACAACTCCTGAATCAAATATTTGAGTGATTTTATTTTAAAATATATTTAATTTCTCTTAAATTTTTCAATTTCACTACAAACTATAAAGCATTAAATAATGTATTTTTCATATTTTATCATAGATTCGAATAATAGCAATTTTTAAAAAATTGATAATCTTTGTACTCACTTTTACCCGTCAGTTCTGTGTCCAATGTTAAAATTCAAAATTTCTGCGAAATATTGAAGTTTAAACGTCAAGTCCTCGTTTTAACTCAAGTGTTGGTAAAAAATTACCTACAGAGCCCGCCCTTTGCACGACAGTAATCTTGAAAACAATGCAAGCGGTGAAGTTGTGGTGAATGCACGTATAGCTCCAGTCAACATATCAGTACTGTGGTGAGTAGTTATTTTCTTACGTATTTATATTTTATTGTAATTTATATAAGGATATATGTGATTTGTTGATAAGTAGCATCCACTTATAAAAATTAGTAGAATACTTAATTCCGAATTATAATCTCACATTTTTATCCCATTCATCAGTACCGTGTCGTCAGTTCCATGTTCGATGTTTCGGTTATCTTTTTTTCGCAAATTTTAATTTAAATTCTGCTCGCGCAGAACTTGTTTATTTAATGTCATTATAAACTCATATAAATTTGGTGTGGGTCCCATATCTAGTAATTGAGATATCGGTATACCCAAAATCCACCAGCCGCCACTGATGTGTGGTAATATTTGATTTTAATATATTTAATGTATAATATGCTCAAAGTTGCAATAAATCTTATATTTTCCAATAAGTTATGTATTTAATTAGTACCCTGGTATACTCGTCACTTTTACCAAGCCCAGAAAAAGTTTAGGGCGCTTGATTCCTTTTCGTTAAACGCTATCCATATATAATTCGTAGAATTTTTAATTTAAGAGATTTTATAAAAATTATAACTACTTTTTTTATGAAATATATACGAGCCCTGTCTCAGTGAAGTTGGCCCAACTAACAAAAATAGTTTTTTGAAGATATTTAGAATATTATACGGTAATTAATTAAAATTAACACATTGTTTTAATTAAATAAATAACGTTTATTAAATTTTCTACCGTTAAATTGTATTTTTAAGTACCTAATAAAAAAATATTTAAAATTCTCTTATATTGTCCGTAAACCAAAAATTAAGAAAAAAATTTTTTAAATAAATACATTTTAATTGGAAACTACCACTGCGTAACATCTCCTTTATGGCTTATTACTGCCTGTATACGTCTCGGCATGGTGTCAACCAATTTTTGACAATCATCTGGCGTAAAATTATTCCAAATTTCTTGCAGGCGAGCACGCAACTCTAAGACGGTTCTTGCGGGCTGTTCTCTGAGCTTCTTTTTCATAATATGCCACAAAGTTTCTATATGCGAAAGATCTGGACTACTAGATGTCCATTTTAAAAGTGAAATATTATTTTTTATCATCCAAGCTTTCACTTTTTTAGCCGTATGACACGCTGCACCATCTTGTTGGAAGATGCATTCAATATCAGTTAAACGCATTTCTTCAATTTGCGGTTTTAAGTTATTTTTTAGGACGTAAATATATTTATCAGCATTCATAATTCCCTCTACAAAGTGTAATTTACCGATCCCTTTAGCTGACATAGATCCCCAAATCATCACAGAGGCCGGAAACTTTACTTTTTTCTCAAGACAGTGATTGTAAAAGACTTCTGCTTTAGTTCTAATGACTTGGCTTCGATTATCACCAACGCAAACTTCAAATCTAGCTTCGTCACTCCATATAATTGAATCTCATTGATTTTGACACCAAGTCCTGTGCTCTTTTGCCCAGAGATGTCTATTTTTCTTCTGTTTTTTTGTCAATAAAGGTTTTTCCTTTGCCTACAGATAGTAAAATTAAAAATAAATAAAAATCGTATACATTATAAGCAAACCTTGTAAGTTTTAAACCCAAGTTTTTGAGCAGCTCTATGACAGGTTGCTCTTGAAAAACATTTACTCGTTGCCTGATTCCACAAAACTTTTAATTCACCGTAATTAGCCCTACGATTTTGAACGATAATTCTTCTTAAAGCCCTTAAATTTTTATCAGAATAGTGAGGACGACTTCCATTTTTTGGTTTCTGCGCCACAGATCCTGTAGTTTTGTGCAGTTTAATAATATTTCGCACTGTATATCGTGACAAATTAACAGTTTCAGCGATTTGTGCAGCGGATTTTCTTTTTAAATGCAAGTGAATTATCACTTTTTTTATTTCTTCAGAAACAGCTTTTCCTCGGGACATTATTATTTGTCAACCACACCGAAAGCATAAATATATACTGGAATGTCACTAGCGACTTGCTTACAATTATTTAAATGTCAAATATTATCTTTACTTTTAGCACAGCCGACTTGCATTAAAAAATCTGGCCATCCAAGTTAATGCATTTTTGTCGATTTTTTTGTATTGTAACCAAACATCCAACTTAAAACTAAATAATATACATACACATATTTTTAAAAAAATTTTACAACATGAAGATTGACCAAGAATTACATATGATAAAAAATTGTTGGCTTTTCATCGCATAAAATTACAAATTTTATATTTTGAGTGGTTGGGCCAACTTCACTGAGACAGGGCTCGTATATATATATATATACCTATAGGTATTATGTTGTACAGGCAAATTTTAGTGATTTCTCAAACCCTTCTTCTCGGCCTTTAAATCCAGCCAGTCTGTCGATTCGGTCGCCGCCCCCCGAGACAAACGGCGGCGTTGATGGTTGGAGGCGGCAGCAAGTGCATAGGTCTCTCTTTGCGGTCGTGCACTCAGGAACCGCGGCCGGAAATCGATGCAAACCATGGCGGGACCGTTTGCCCCCCCCCCTGCCGTCTCCAGCGATTGTGCCACCGGAAGTGCTTAGACTGGCGGCGGCAAAATTATCTCGCGACAAACCCTGACCGCGCGGATTTTTGCGGCCGATTTCAATTTTTCCTCTGTTTTATTATGTCGACGATGGTGCGATGGATTATGCAATTATCGAATTTATTCTACAGGGTGTTATGTAATTAATGTTATATATTAAAATGGGTTGTTCCTTAAGGTCCATAAAGAAGCACCTGAAACTTTTTCTTTCTAAATTCCAAAGACTAAAAATAATTTATAATAACCTTTATCCTACCAAAAAGTACGCCACTGATCGACTAGGAACTTTAGACTAGTCTGGTTGCCTAATTTAATTTATTATGTTATGGTTGGTAACAACCAGATTCTGTCAAAAAAGTTGACAAACCTTGTTTAAATTTAGCTTAATTACAAAAATGACAAAATTTACAATGGAAATTGTCAATTTGGCGTTTTTATTAATTGTTGGTTATGTCATTTTTGTACTGAAGGTAAATTCAAACAAAATTTGACAACTTTTATGACAGAATTTAGTGCATTTCTTTCAAATTTTAGGTTATGTGCTCAAATTTATCTTAACTAAGGGAAGTGCTTTTGGATTTATTTACACAAATTAAATGTTTAAAGTTTAACCTGTGAACTGGTCCCAATTTCATCTGAGTAAACAGAATGAAAAAAACCGATGAGAAAATTAATTTTGTGGTTATGGATTTTTTAAAATAGGTACTAAATTTTCTAATCATTGCT